ATTTCTGGAGACCCTTAAGAGAAAATTATGCAATCTGAAGACATTTGGGTCAAGTGGGGGGGTAGATCAGCTTGATGCTCTGGGTGGTTATTTATTCATTCCTGGATGGGGGTGGGAGTTTGTTTTTTTAATTCTTTGAATCTTCTAAGCCACCCTTAGTCACTTGGATGAGATGGGCTTCTCTATAAATAATGTAATTTTATTTTATTTTTTTTTAAAAAAAGAAAACACTTCCCCTATTACAACGGTCTGGGCATGGCTCCATGGGCTGACTCAAGCTAGGAAAAAAGGCTATTAAGGTTCAACTATTCATGCTTACCACCGTGAGGTCCTCTTCTTCCCCCCCCTCCAAGGCAATTACCTTCACTTCTTTCTTAAAGAGCAATTAACTGCACCCTCGGTTTTCACTGAGGTTTTGAACCTTGGCTCAGCTGCTGCCTGGTGACCTTTCCAATTCCCTCCGGTGTCATTAAATGCAATGAGGGAAGAAGGGAAAAGGAATAATAAAAAAAATATATAGAAGGCAGAAGAGAGCGGATGTAGAATAAAGCCCTGAGAACCCTCTTTAAAAATCAAGATTTCAATCGGCCTCCTAATTACACCGGATTTTAAAATCAAATTTTTTAATCTCTGCCTTTTCCCAACGAAAAAAGATGGACCTGTGAAATTCTTTCAAGAATGACTTTTGAAGAAGTGCACAATCTCTGGAAGGGTGAACTCGGTTCTCTTGGAGCAAAATCACCATTTCCTTGCTACATTTGGAAGTCTCCTAATTTCAGGAGGGCACCCCGCAAAGAAAACTTAGCAAAAGCCAGGTTGAGACATGCTTCCAACAGCTTCGCTTGCTTTTCATGGTGGGGTCTGTTTTCCTTGGAAGCTGGGGGGTGGGGGAAAGTGAAAAAAGCGTTGACCAGTAATTTTATGCAGATCAACTTACTGGATTCCCCAAAGCCGGCTGCGATGGCGGCACTCAACCGGTCTGGGAAGACAGGTTGACGCGAAGCTTGTCTGTTGAGACATCCTTGTCATTTTTCTACCCGCAGCTGCACATTCATTTAAGGGGTGGGTTTCCCCCCCCCAGCAGGGAGTGTCACCCCTCATCAAGGACCTCTTCTTCTTGATCCCAGATTAGGAACTCAGAAATGGCGGGCATGCCCGACTCCCTCATCCTTGCAGTTCATTTAGTGACCGTTCCAGGTTACAACGGCGCTGAAAAATGGGATCGTTTTTCACGCCGACTTTGGCAGCATCCCCACGATCGTGTGATCAAAATTCAGAGGTTTCGCAAACCGATTCGTACTTATGACGGTGGCAGTGTGCCCCCGGGGGAGGTCACGTGACCCCCTTTTTGCGACCTTCTCTCCAGCAAACTCAACGGGGGAGAAGCCAGATTCACTTAACAACCGGGTTGCCAACTTATCAACTGAAGCGACTCACTTAACAACCGAGGCAAGAAAGGTCGTGAAACGGGGCAAAAATTCATGTCACTGTTCTCACTTAGCAACAAAATTTTGGGCTCGTAAGTCGAGGATTAGCAGTATTCATTCCGTACAAGAGCACTTAGGAGAGTTTAAGCTTTTGGTGATTAAAATTTCCACCGTTTTCACCCAGGTTGAAAAGTCACGGTGACCGAACTGCCGGGGTTTGGAAATTTGCACAGAGCGGCAACTGATCTATTTGGCACGGCTGTGGGCTAGGCCGAGGGACGGATCTTCTCTAGGAAACCAGAATCCATTAAAAACAGGGAGCACAATTTTCTTTTAATTACAAAAAAATTGAAATTACAATATAATACAGAAACTTTTTACACGCAGATTAGAACAGTTTTCTTTTTCCTACCAAAAGAAAAATATTCTTCTTTTTTTTTTTTCCCTTCCTGGTTTTGGATTTTTTTTTTTTTTTTTTTTTTTTTTTTTTTTTTTTTTTTTTTTTTTTTTTTTTTTTTTTTTAGTTTTCAGCTATGTTATACAAAGTTGTAGAACATGCACCTCTCCCGTTTGATAGGGCTTAGCTCCTTTTTTTAAATTAATTTCTCTCTCTCTCTCTCTCTCTCTTTTTGCTAAGTGCAAATACTAGGTTTTCTCTCTCCACCTTTTAAGGCAAGTTAAATGCAACACTGCAAAATTGATAATAAGAAAGTACCTGTTAAAATGTCGAACGGGGGGGGGGGGAATTCCATACACTTCTCACTGTCTACCCGTAAAGAGATGAACGCTTTTAGAGATATATATATAGATATATAGATATATATAAAAGAGGCTACAAATAAAAAAAACACACACCAAAAAAGATGGAATTTCATACAAATTCCACTCTCCACCCAACTCACAGGCATGTCTGCTTAAAAGATTCAGGAAAGTTCGGATTAAAGAGAGAAGGGGGAAAAAAGAAAAGCAGACCAACCGACAGGAGTTTTAGAGAAAAAACATGGCTTTGGGAAAAAAGCAAAGCAGAGAAAGTCACGGGAGCCCTCGAAGACTAATCAATTTGATCCAGAAAGGGGCAATGAAAATAAAGGTGGCTGGCTTTTTAAAGGGGAAAAACACACAATTTTGAATCTCCGTGGCTAAGATGGGACCGGAATGGCGACACGTGGAATGGAAGACAACAGAAAACTTTTGGGATGGAAAGAACTTCAGGAATAGGTTTCCCATGAGATTAAATTCCCAACATTGGGGAGGGCATCACATTTTCTCACCAAGGGTCCAAAGTTTGCCACGGGAATATTCCGCTACCGATGAGTCTGATCAATCCTTATTGATCAGGAATTACGTGGGCCGCGTAGCCACACACTCGCTGGATTGTGGGCACCCTACCCTGGGGTGGTGGTGGTAGTGGTGAGCAGCTATTCAAAGCATCACCAGTTCATTTCAGAATAATTTTAAAGAAAAGCCTATCGGTAAAAGTTTCGGGAGTTGCATGATCACGTCCAAAGGGAAGGCGGAGAGGGGAGAATTTCAACCGTTTTGATAGCTGTGAGGGGGAGAAAAACAAAACCAAAACATAAAAGCAGATTTGATAATATTGTGTAAAGGAAACAGGTAGGTAGAATCAAGGTAGGAACTCTTGAAAAGCAACTGACTTCACCTTCCTGGCAGTTCCCGGATTCTTTTCCACACTTCGGTTGAAATGGAGGAGGGGAAAAAAAAATCACAATATTTATGGGCCTCGGTCCTCTTTGCTATGGCCAAAAGATTCTCTCATTCAAGGAATATACAGTTTTTTCTCATGGAGGAAATTAAAGATTTGTTTTTGGAGGGGGAGGGGGTGGTCTGGGAGAGAAACAGAGCTTGTCCAGGTTCAAAACCATCATTTGTATTATATTGCTTGAGCTGAGCCAAGCTAAGATGAAACCATGGGGAGATTCCCTCTGTTGGATTTATGTTCAGCAGAAGAAAAGCATTTTCTGCAACGTCTTTTCCCCCAACCTGGCATCTACCAGATGCTGGAGGGATTCAACTTCCAGGCTTCTGCCCCAGAGAGACCCTCCCTCGCTGGCCAACATTTTGGAGGAAAGGTCATCAACCTGATTATGAAGGCTGCTGATTTGGGAAGGGAAGTTGTTTCTGAAGACACCCTCAAGTCTTCCTGGCTGAAATCACGAGAACCATCTGTGGTGCTCACTTCCTTGTCCTCCCAGCTCTGTTGGGGCTGGCTGATCACGCAGCTTTCTGTGGTGCTTCTGAAGTCACACCTCTTCCCAGTGAAGCCACAGAGGAGTGAAGATGGTGTAACAGGTGTACAAAAGATGGAAGGGGATTTCTGGGGGAACAGGAGAACAGAGCCTATCCATCCATACAACTGATCTAAACCATGGTTCCTCAACCGTAGCAACTTTAAGATGGGTGGACCTCAACTCCTCCAGCCAGCAAGGTTGAGGAACATTGATCTAAAGCCAGCCCTTAACTGGTGCTTTTGAATAAGCCAACACCTAAACGTTGAGACAACAGTCTAGGTAGATACTTGTTCACACCTGGACTTCAAGAGCTTAAGGATGCATGAGGGAGCTTGGAACCACGGGCTCCCCCAGGTAAAGGGTTTTCCCAAGGTGCATAGGGACAGTTCTCCCAGCCGTGGTAGCAACCTGAGCATTCACCCCAACACCAGAGAAAAGCGGAGGAGGCATAACCCGATTGCACCCGTCTTTTCCCAGAATCCCAATACGTTGACCTCTTTGTAGCTTTCTCCAGCGGGGGCTCCCATTCCACACACCACACATCAAAACAGAGAAAACCTCCACGGCCGCCATCACGCTTCAGCCTAAATAGCCAAATCAGGGTTCCAACTCCAGACACAAGTGCAGAAAAGCAGCAGCAGCAGGCCAGGGCGATGGACACAACGACCGATTTCATTTCAAGACCAATTTGGTTTGTGCTTTCAAAGCACCCTCTCAGCTGCAAGCAAGGCGTGTCAAATTTCCGAGGGTCTCTCCAAGCCTGCTTTAGGAAATCCTGACCACTACCACCCCCCTTAAAAAGGGCACCTGTCCCCTGCTTTCCGAGCCGAAGAGGGAAGCTATGGAAGATCTAAGCTAAGAAGACCCCCACCACACCTGGCTTTCTGGAATTAAGGACTGCCACCTGAGTGTTTCAAATATTCCAAGGTGTTCCTCGGCCATCTTTCAACCTCGGCTTGGTTGAGATGCTGGAGGCCGTGCAGCTATGGAAGGAGCAACACTATTGCTCAGGCTGTCTTGTTGACCAGAACACATTTTTGGCAATGCTGTCCCTCCAGCCCACCTCCTTCGGAAGCCCCCTTCTCAACCAACAGCACCCAACAGTGCTGGGACAAAACCTTATTGCAAACTAGGGCTCCCTTGCACCTAGCGGAGGGTGGGGATGGACGTCTGAACTGCGGGCCGAGACAACTGGGGGTGGGGGTGGGAGGGAGTAGGAGCAAAGGTGGCTTTTGTAATCTAGTGGGAGGTGAGCATCGTCAACCAGTGTGTGGACTTTCCCTGCAGCAAGTTCCAGAAGGAACGGCACCTTCCCGAAACCGGATCAGAACCGATGCCGAGGCTGAGGCCCAAAGTGCATAGGAAGGTTGTGCTCCAAATGTAGGTTCATTTGGGGAAAGTCGTAGTTCATCCTCATGTTGTGGAGTGGGGGGACGTAAGGGGCCGGGATGGGGCCCAGGTTGATGGGGCCCAGGTTGTTGTACAGGGGGTGCACCGGGGGGAGAGGGAAAGGGGGGTGACCAAATGGGTAGGGGCGTATTTGGTGGTGGTGGTGGAGGTTCTGGGGAACCGGCCTGGGGATGGCTTCAATCCGTGGGATCTTCTCTGCGGGTTTTTCCACCGGAGGGCCAATCCGCTTAAAACTGTTTTCTGCAAAAAAAATTATATATATATATGAGACAGAAGGTGGGCAAGAAGGTGACAATTTAAAAAGCGTATGGCCCCCCTGTTTGAATTGCATTCCTAGTATAGGATGAAGTAACCAGGTCATTTGGACTGACCTGGGTGCCACATCCATATTTCTTTAACAACAAATATGGACTAGCACTGATGATGTTACCTAGTTGGGTCATGAAACGTCTGCAAGAAAACAACCAAGCTCAGAGAGCACCAAGGACCCCACAGTCCTCCTCCTCAAACCCACTCCTTTCTAGCACTGATGATGTTCCCTAGTTGGGTCTTGAAATATCTACAAGAAAACCACCCAGCTCAGAGAGACCCAAGAAGCCTTCATTTCAACTCTGAGCTGAAAACATTCTCCTTTATTGGTAATGACAAGTATTCCCACCTAGCACAGCTTTGCTACTCTTACCCATTCAACGCAAAGAATAAACCAACCTCCGTTCTTCCTCTTTTGTTCTTCCTCCGCTTCCTTCTGAATTTCATGGATTATCTTCTCATCGTCCTCCTAGAAGGGACAGGAAGAGCCAGAGCTGTCAAGAGAGCTGTAGGTCGATATGCTTAAATGTATACGTAAAAAAAAAAAAAAAGTCGAAAATCTGAAATGCTGGACGAAGGCGCTTCCAGCCTCTGCAAGGAAAAAAAAAAATCTAATTTCTTTTGCACGCCTGTATTTGGGACCTTGACTCATGTCTGCTGCTACCGTATTTATTCACGTGGGACCAGCCCAATTACAGGACTGCAAATATTTCACAGCTTCCCCTCCATCTCTGGTTCCTGAAATTTCACCCACAACACTTCAAAGCATGCCTTGAGGTTTTCTCCCGAGGAGCAGCTGTCCGGAGCACTTGTGAGCGATCTCCGTTCCTCTCCTTGTCCAGAGAGGAATTATGATGATCCGGTCTACTCTCCGTCTCTCTGTTCTTCCACGGTTATCAACTCCGCTTTCTTCGCTTTGCCATTTCTTCCCCCAAAAGTCAATAAATTGAAATCCCGACGATGACAATGTATTCTAAATGTAGAATCGATGGACTGCGATGCTAAGAAGAATGCTAAGGGCGAGGAAACTAATGTAAACGGCAAAACTAGCTGGAAGCAAATGGCCATCTCATTATTAAAAAAATTTAAAAAATCCACGGACATCTTGTTTTCATTTCTTCCGTTTTTAATGTCGTCCTCTATTTTCCTTTCCTGTAATGTGGAAAATCCTCTGGATTTGGAGAACCTCTAGGAAACATGCGGTCTCAGTTGAACATGCAATGCACACACACAGAGAGAGACACACACACACACACACACACAGAGATGACTGAAACTTGCCAGTTTCCCAATTTGGATTTTATAAAATATGTCTGGAAATTTTGCCAAAGCTTTTCTCTCCCTCCCCCTCGGTTTTATTGTTTGATGGGAACCAATTAGCATTTTGGCAGGATGATGGGTGGGCGGGCGTGATTCAGTCCAACCAACGCTGGTTCCTGGATTCACTCAGTCAGCAGTTCACATTCACAGTTCTTCCAAGCTGGGACTCTTGTGGGTCTTGCAAAGTACCGCATTTCGTTCCCACAACGGAGATCACAATGTAAGGAGCCTGCAACTCGCACAATCTGGGCTATGGAAATCATTTGGAGCCATACACAAAGGAGGATCCTATTGTCTCCAGAGTTCCCCACGTGAAAATTGTGGAGACTACTTATTGTGGCAAAAAGATCCTCCTATTGAAACACATCTCTAAACACACACTTGCGTAGGTGTCCACACACAGAAAGAGATACAGGCAAAATGACTTACAACAGTTCACTTAGTGAATATTCGCAGTTACGACGACACTGAAAAAAAGTGACTTATGATCGTCTTTCGCACCGATGACCATCACAGCATCCCCACGGTTATGTGATCAAAATCCAGAGGCTTGGCAGCTGACATGTCTTTATGACTGTTGGCTGTGTCTGAAACTTCAGAAATGTCCTGACAGTGAGGACAATTAATCAGTGGAACGGGTTTCCTGCCTGAGCAGCGAGTTGTTGTTGTTGTTGTTGTTGTTGTTGTTGTTGTTGTTGTTGTTGTTGTTGTTCTTCTTCTTCTTCTTCTTCTTCTTCTTCTTCTTCTTCTTCTTCTTCTTTTCTCCTCCTCCTCCTCCTCCTCCTCATTATTATTATTATTCAGATTAATATTGATGCCTGCCTTGAATTTTGTCCTAATACACGTAGTTCTTGACTTACGGCCACAGCTGAACTCAAAATTTCCACAGCTAAGTGAGACAGCTGTTAAATGAGCTTGGCCCCATTTTACGACCTTTGTTGCCACCGTTGCTAAATGAACCGTCAGTATTCCATTCCTGTCTGCTCCAATCCCTGGCGGTGACTTCCTTGGCGTGCGACAGCGATGGTCTGAATTCTTTCACGCTGCACTTGAAACGCCTCGCGGATGTTGAGGAGACGAGAACCCGAAGCAAATGTGTGATGTGGCTGAGATTTCAGCAGACATTTATTACGGGACAATGTTAAAAAAAAAGGAAGATTTGTAGCTATCAGCTGTACAGCCTGACGCTGCGGGATGTCTTCCAAAATTCCTTTCTCCGGAATGGGCTGTTTAATATCCAAAGTTTACTTCCCTCTCTCTCTCTCACTTCATCATGTACTTGAACAGGCAGCCGTAGGGAACTTGTTACGATGACGATACTCACAACTACTCTGGACGTAGTAAATACAAACTTTACAGGGTGAAAACAGATCAGTTGTGCCAACAAACCCAACTTTGCAGCATGTTGCTCCTCGGGGATAACAGACTGCAACTGTCTAAACAATTTCGCATTAATTTCTTCTGGCACGATCGGTCATGTGTGTGTGTGTGGGGGGGGAAGTTGTGCAGAGTAGAGAAAACGATGCGTTCGCATTTCTGTCCGGGAAAATTGCGAAACAAAAAGCAGAACGGCTACAGAGACGATCCGTGGCGGAAAGTGCCTGCACTTCTCCCTACATATATACAAAAAGACTTGCTTTGTTTTCTGTTTCTTGTTTCTTTTGCTGTAGCCTGTGTTGCTTTTTGCAGAGAGAGGTAAGTTTCAGAAATTTAGCTATGCTGTATCTTGGGATCTTTTCAGCGCTGCTGATTTGTGAAAACAAAGTGCACGAAAAATAGCTCCAGAAGAATCTAAAGGCTGCTCGAGGCCTTGGGGTTTCAGGTTGCTAACCTTCGCTCGGGACTGCAAGTCACCATAACCGGGTGCAGAAAACTAAAGGGGGGGAAAAAAAACCCCACAAAGAGCAGAAAGAGCGTAAAATGCAAAGTCCCAGATCAAACTGCAAGACAATCTGATTCCCAAAGCTTCCCTGATAGACATATTCCTTTCCAATTCCAAAAAAATAAAAAAAATCCTCCCGTAAGATATTTTTACATTCTTTTTTTTTTTATCAAGCTAGAATAACTGGCTAATTATTTCAGGATGGAGGGGTTTATATTTAAAAGTGGTGTTTCAAATGAGTCCATAGGAACTGGTTCCTCCATCTGTAACCTGATACACAGGCATATATAGATCCCCCCCCATTTTTTTCCCCCTACATGTGTGGGCACAGCTGTTCCCAATAAGCTCAAAATGCTTTCATGATGTATGGATGTTCAGAGGGAGGAGGAGAACAAGGACTTTAAAAAACAAAAACAGAAAACCAGATCGTTCCCATATTCAACCAGGGAATGCCTCAAGAGCAACAGAGAAAGGGTGACAGTGGAAAAGTGAAGGCAGAGAGGTAGGGTAGAAATGGTGAGAGGGCACCAGCAAACAGAGGAAAAAATCCTGTATAAAAAGGGAAGATTCTACTGATGTGTACAGAGAGAAAGCTCACAGAACAACAGAGTTGGAGGGGACCTTGGAGATCTTCTAGTCTAGTCCAGCCCCCTCCTTAAGCAGGAGACCCTCTACCATCCCAGACAAAAGACAGTCTCTTCTTAAACACATCCAGTGATGGAGCACCCACAACTTCTGGAGGCAGGTTCTTCCACTGATTAATTGTTCTCACTGTCAGGAAATTTCTCCTTAGTTCCAGGTTGCTTCTCTCCTTGATTAGTTTGCCTCCGTTTCTTCTTCTCCTGCCTTCAGGTGCTTTGGAGAAGAGCTTGACTCCCTCTTCTTTGGGGAAACCCCTGAGATATTGGAGGACTGCTATCATGTCACCCCTGGTCCTTCTCTTCGTTAAGACTAAACATTCCCAGTTCCCTCAATTGTTCATCCTAGAGATTTAGCCTGCGGACTGCTTATCCTCTCTGCTGCTCTTTTGACACTTTTTCTTGAGTCTCAATATTTTTTTTATATCTGGTAGCTCAATCAACCCAAACTGAGAGATCCTAAGAAAGAGGACGACACCATCACACACACACACACACACACACACACACACACACACACACACACACACAATGTGAAGGTTCCTCAAGGGTGCTAACGAATGGCATTTTTTTAAACCACAGCTAGACAGTTATGGGGCACCCCTTGAGATGGTGGAGAGAAGACCGGAATAAATTCAGGGGTGTCCCAGACACTTACCGTGGGGTCTGTCCAAAGGGAACATTTTGCACAGTCTTGGCACGGGGCTCCCGGGGAACGAGGGTGCTGGCAGAAGTGGTCGTACCCATTAATGGCAGCTCGGCAGAGGTAGCACATCTGGGCCCCACAACGGCAGGACATGCGGTTGCAGCCTTCCGATTTGATCAAGCCGGTGGCGCATTTGTGACACTTTCTGATACGGGCTGCCGTCATCTTCTCTTCTCTGGAAGGCAACGGACAAGAGTCAGGTGGGTGCTAGAAAGAGGACATTTTGGCTTCAAGTGGGCAATGGCTCAGGTGCCAAGATGGCTGATTTTCCAAAAGACTGCTGGAAGCTGGTCTGGTCAAGAGGTTCACCTACATCAGGGGTCTCCAAAACTGGCAACCTTAAGACTTGTGGACTTCAACTCCCAGAATCCCTCAGCCAGGGTCTCCCAACCTTGGCAGCTTTCAGACTTGTGGACTTCAACTCCCAGAATCCCTCAGCCAGGGTCTCCACCCTTGGTAGCTTTCAGACTTGTGGACTTCAACTCCCAGAATCCCTCAACCAGGGTCTCCCAACCTTGGCAGCTTTCAGACTAGTGGACTTCAACTCCCAGAATCCCTCATCCAGGATCTCCACCCTTGGCAGCCTTCAGACTTGTGGACTTCAACTCCCAGAATCCCTCATCCAGGATCTCCACCCTTGGCAGCTTTCAGACTTGTGGACTTCAACTCCCAGAATCCCTCAGCCGGTGTGAAGGGAGAATGAAGCAAGAAGAGAAACGGAAATGGGACTGAAAAAGCTCCTTGGATGGGAAGCAAAACATTTTCAAAGAAAATCCAACTGCCTTTTGGAAAAAGCACCACCTATGGGACGAAACCACTAACTCAGTGACTGTCAGCCCTTCAAGGTAGGCCAGGTTAGGAAAGTTACTTTATTGACATAGGCTTATAGTAACAGAATCTTGGAACTGTGGCTGTGTTTAGTCTTCCCATGCTCTCATGCAGTATTTCTCAACCTTGACAACCTCAAGGCGTAGCGGATTAAAGCACCGGCTGGCTGAGGGATTCTGGGAATTGAAGTCCACACATCTTGAGGTTACCAAGGTTGAGGAACACGGCTCTAATGAATGAAGGAGGAGCCTTCCTTAGGCTCCTTCTGCGTCCTGGGCTTAAGCATGCTTTTGTTTATGGAGCCATCATCTCGGCTGAGTCTCTCCAAGGTCATCTCCATGGCTCCCTACAACCTTCTCCCATGGTGGGTATCTTCTGTCTCAAGCTAACAAGGCTGCCAAAACCACTGTTGATTTAATGATCTCAGTCGTCTCGCCTCCTGGAACAAAAATGGGGGTATCTGAAACAAAGTCATCTAAGACAGGGGTCTCCAACCTTGGCAACTTTACGACTTGTGGACTTCAGCTCTCAGAATTCCTCATGCTGGCTGAGGAATTCTGGGAGCTGAAGTCCACAGGTCTTCAAGTTGCCAAGGTTGGAGACCCTGGCTGAGGAATTCTGGGAGTTGAAGTCCACAAGTTGCCAAGGTTGGAGACCCCTGATCTAAGGGACCCAGGAGATCTCCTTTCTGGAACAACCTGACGCCCGGAGATGGTCCTCACCATCCTTGGAAAGACCCTCATTTCAAGAGGGTTAGTGGTGCCCAGCTTGTGTGCTTTAGTGTTGCGACTGGATGACAAGCTGCTTTGACGACTGCATTACGATTGTTTTAATTGCCTTTTGCTTTCTTCAACACTTGTTTCTTTTTCAAAGGGGTCTTCCATCTACAGTTAGCTAGCTGCCTAGAGTGACTTGTTGGAGGTGGGTGGCCATATGCTTGCTCGAAATAAATAGCCCAATAAAGAAACGTAGAGATGAAAACCAATTAAGTCTAAGCATTCATCCCCAATCGACATTCTGCAGGCCTAAAGCTGGTGTCCTGGAGAACCAGCCAGGCAGCCAAACGTGGGGCTGGACACAATGGAAGGCCTGAAAACCCAACGGCAGAAAGATGGTGACTTTTGGCAGAGAGATAATGCAGAGCTGCGGGGGCGAAAAGGGGCCAGGGAAACCAACCCCACCCAACAGTTTTCAACCGAGCGGAGCTGCTCGTTGCTTAGTTACCGGGATGCTGCCAAAGAAGTTCGAGCTACTATGGTCTGCAAACACTAGACCCTGTTTAGAATAGCAATAGCCACAGCACTGAGACTTATGTACCGCTTCACAGTGCTTTACAGCCCTCGCTAAGCGGGTACAGAGTCAGCTTGTTGCCCCCAACAATCTGGGTCCTCATTTTATCGACCTCGGAAGGATGGAAGGCTGAGTCAACCTGGAGCTGGTCAGGATCGAACTCTTGGCAGTGGGCAGAATTAGTCTACAATCCTGCATTCTAACCACTGGGAAGGAAGGAAGGAAGGAAGGAAGGAATAGCACTTATATACTGCTTCATAGTGCTTTACAGCCCTTTCTAAGCGGTTTACAGAGTCAGCTTGTTGCCCCCAACAATCTGGGTCCTCATTTTATCAACCTCAGAAGGATGGAAGGCTGAGTCAACCTGNAGGGAAGGAAGGAAGGAAGGAAGGAAGGAAGAAAGAAAGGAAGGAAGGAAGGAAGGAAGGAAAGGAAGGAAGGAAGGAGAGGTAGGGAAGGAAGGAAGGAAGGAGAGGTATGGAAGGAAGGAAGGAAGGAAGGAAGGAAGGAAGGAAGGGCAATAGCAACAGCATTTAGACTTATATACCGCTTCCTAGTGCTTCACAGCCCTCTAAGCAGTTTACAGAGTCTATCGTGAGCCTCTTATCTATTTCAAGCATTTGCAGACCTTTGATGCATGTTGGGTGAGTTCTCGTATCACACTCACCCATGCTTGTGCAATAGATGTTCCAGGACTGTGTGTACCTCTAAATCCTTCTGCAGCTCCCACCTTTGAGATAGATCAGGAAACAGACCCCCCAAGAACTACTTTATTGTTATGTGGCAGGACAACACAATCTCGAAAGCGTCTCCTTCCCTCCCTCTTATATGAAAGAGACACAAGCTGGTACTATCTTGAGTTTCCTTCTCACCCTTTCCTGTTTTCCCCAGCTAACAGCAACCCCCCCCAATCCTCCGGGATGTCTCCAAGCCTACTTTCTCCCTCCTCTACACTACGCAACTACAGCTGTTACATGTTGTCCACACAATTTCCCATAGTTGGAAACGGCAGATAGTCGAAGGCTATCATTCTAAGCCTGATAAATTGGTTTAAAAATAAAAACTCCCCACCCACTAAACTCAGGAAACGGTGAAACATCCTGTCTCAACTCAGGTGCAAGAAGTGGCCCAGTCCCTTCGTGTGAGAACCTCAGTCCTCTTTCTCTAAAAGCTATCAAGTCGCTCGTTCCTGCACTGAGCCACTTTGTCCTGATCACAGTTTATGAAAACAGCCACATGGATTGGGTTCTGCTACCGCTAGAGATGTTACAAGGGCTACTCTGCAATCTTCCCTTTGCAGAACAATTGTTAGCAGCCCTGGCTTGCAGAGCAGGATGGGAAAAAAGAGAACAGGGCTACTAGCCCCCTCGCTTAGGAAAACACATTACGCAGGGGCTCTTCTCTACGACCAGGAAACAAGATCAGGAAATGATTTTTCAACCAAGATAGCGTGCAAATTTCTAGCCTCAGATGCAAACTCTTGTTTCCATCGGTGGTCAAGGCAGATGTGTCCCTAACCTCGCAGAGCGCAGAAAGAAGGGAAAATAAAGAGCCGTTGTATTTAGCAGAGTGGAAAAAAAACAAATGAAGGTTTTGCATAGAGTCCAAAGGAGACTTGCAAGCGAGGAAGAAAACGGAATCTACCCACAAGGCATTCGGAACAGCAATCCTGGGATCATTCTGAGGTCTCCTAGCTCAATTCCTACCAATTGCTCCTCAATTCCTCCAGGTGAGGTGCACCTGGAGGCTCCAGCTAGTTCAGAATGCGGCCGCACGGGGGATCCTGGGGGCCTCTAGATGCTCCCATGTAACACCTCTCCTGCGCGAGCTGCACTGGCTGCCTGTGGCCTTCCGGGTGCGCTTCAAGGTGTTAGTAACAACCTTTAAAGCGCTCCCTGGCAATGGACCTAGGTACTTGCAAGACCGCCTCCTACCAAATATCTCCCTTCGACCAGTCCGCTCCCACAGAGAGGGCCTCCTTAGGGTGCCGTCGGCCAGACAATGCCGGCTGGCGACCCCCAGGGGGAGAGCCTTCTCTGTGGCAGCTCCTGCCCTCTGGAATGACCTACCCCCCCGACCTACGTACAGTTGCGGACCTGCGCCTTTTTCGCCGAGCCCTGAAGGCCCATCTATTCCGTGC